CATGCTACAACCTGGCATAACCGCTATTGGTCCGCTAGGACTAATATGATTGGATCGACGTTCGCGTCAAATTACTAATGTTATCTCTTGGAAGATACTTCTGATGGTTGATTAGGAATGTGAAAACTGAGCTGTTGGATCTATCCTGAATCCCCGAGATGATGGGGACAATCCCTTTTTTAGAGCAAGTGGACGAGTTAGTGGAGTTAAAATATTGCCCCAAGATTAAACTTATCATGTGATGTGCATTTCATCTTTTCATATGTTCTTTTGTGTGGACCATATTTTACCTTGATTTCTTTGTTGGTCTAGTTTCTAATTTCCAATGAAGGTGCTACCTCTACCTCATTATCCCCAGTTTCTTTTTTTTTCCATTTCTGAATGTGCAGATTAATTGAGCAAGAAAAGTTTACCTGCTATTGAGTATGACTCCTCTCACTCGTGAAACGTTAGTCTGGTAATAAGGAAATTGAGGTTCAAAGCACAGCACTAAGTGTTGATAGGACCAACAACAACAACAACAACAACAAAGCCTTTAAGTCCCAAACAAGTTGGGGTAGGCTAGAGTTGAAACCCAACAGAAACAATCAAGGTTCAGGCACGTGAATAGCTGTCTTCCAAGCATTCCTATCTAAGGCTAAGTCTTTGGGTATATTCCATCCTTTCAAGTCTCCTTTTATTGCCTCTACCCAAGTCAACTTCGGTCTTCCTCTGCCTCTCTTCACGTTACTATCCTGACTTAGGATTCCACTACGCACCGGTGCATCTGAAGGTCTTCGTTGCACATGTCCAAACCATCTTAACCGGTGTTGGATAAGCTTTTCTTCAATTGGCGCTACCCCTAATCTCTCACGTATATCATCGTTCGAACTCGATCCCTTCTTGTATATGCGCCAAATCCAACGCAACATACGCATTTCCGACACTTAGCCATTGAATATGTCGTCTTTTGTAGGCCAACATTCTCGCACCATACAACATAGCAGGTCTAATCGCCGTCCCTATAAAACTTGTCTTTTAGCTTATCAGGTACCCTTTTTGTCACATAGGACACTAGACGCTTGCCGCCACTTCATCCACCCCACTTTGATTCTATGGCTAACATCTTCATCAATATCTCCGCGTCCCTCTCAGTAGCATTGATCCTAAATATCGAAAGGTATCCATCCTAGGCACTACTTGACCTTCCAAACTAACATCTTCCTCCCCGAGTAGTAGTGCCGAAGTCACATCTCATATACTCAGTTTTAGTTCTACTAAGTCTAAAACCTTTGAACTCCAAAGTCTCCCGCCATAACTCCAGTTTCTGATTCACTCCTGTCCGGCTTTCATCAACTAGCACTACATCATCCGCGAAAAGCATACACCAAGGGATGTCCCCTTGTATGTCCCTTGTGACCTCATCCATCACTAAAGCAAACAAATAAGGGCTCAAAGCTGACCCTTGATGTAGTCCTATCCTAATCGGTAAGTCATCCGTGTCTTCATCACTTGTTCGAACTCTAGTCACAACATTGTTGTACATGTCCTTAATGAGCCCGACGTACTTCGTTGGGACTTTATGTTTATCCAAAGCCCACCACATAACATTCCTTGGTATTTTATCATAAGCCTTCTCTAAGTCAATAAAAACCATGTGTAGGTCCTTCTTCTTCTCCCTATATCGCTCCATAACTTGTCTTATTAAGAAAATGGCTTCCATGGTTGACCTTCCGGGCATGAAACCAAATTGGTTCATAGAGACCCGTGTTATTGCTCTCAAGCGATGCTCGATAACTCTCTCCCATAGCTTCATAGTATGGCTCATCAACTTAATTCCCCGGTAATTTGTACAACTTTGAATATCCCCTTTATTCTTGTAGATCGGTACCAATATACTTCTCCTCCACTCATCAGGCATCTTGTTTGATCGAAAAATATGGTTGAACAACTTGGTCAACCATACTACAGCTATGTCCCCGAGGCATCTCCACACCTCGATTGGGATACCATCCGATCCTATCGCCTTACCTCCTTTCATCCTTTTCAACGCCTCTCTGACCTCAGATTCTTGGATTCTCCGCACAAAGCGCCTATTGGTGTCATCAAAAGAGTCATCCAACTGAAAGGTTGTGTCCATATTCTCACCATTGAACAATTTGTCAAAATACTCTTGCCATCGATGTCGGATCTCATCCTCCTTTACCAAGAGATGCTCCCTTTCATCCTTAATGCACTTAACTTGGTTGAAGTCCCGTGTCTTTCTCTCACGAACCCTAGCCATCCTATAAATGTCCTTCTCTCCTTCCTTCGTACTCAAATATTGGTAAAGATCCTCATCACGCTCTACCCTCAATGCCACACTTACACTGCTTTCGTTTTGCGCCTTCTTTGCCACCTTGTACTTCTCTATGTTGTCCACACTCCTGTCATGGTACAAGCGTCTATAGCATTCTTTCTTCTCCTTAATAGCCCTTTGGACTTCCTCGTTCCACCACTAAGTGTCTTTAGCCTCGCGTCCCCTTCCGTTGGTTACTCCACACACCTCTGAGGCTACCTTCCGAATGTTGGTTGCCATCTTGTCCCACATATTGTTTATGTCGTCTTCTTCCTTCCAAGAGCCCTCTTTGATAACCCTTTCCCTAAATACCTCGACGTCTCCCTTTCGGTTTCCACCACTTTGTTCTTTCAATCTTAGCTTGTTTATCCCTCACGGACGCACCTGAAAAAACGAAAATCACCAAAAGCTTATGTTGAGAAACAACACACTCCCCAGTATCACCTTGCAATCCAAGCATGCTCGTTTGTCCTTTCTTCTTGCGAGGACAAAGTCAATCACTACTCTGATGTTGTCCGCTTTGAAGGTCACTAGATGAGATTCTCTCTTCTAAAGAAAGTGTTGGCTATCATCAAAAAGCTACTATGCCCATTAAGATCTCCTCCTATAAAAAGCTTCTCACTACTAGGTATAGCTCTAACCAGGCCATCTAAGTCTTCCCAGAACTGTCTCTTAGCACTCTCGTCGAGGCCTACTTGGGGGCATCGCACTAATTACATTCAAGACCATATCACCAACGACAAGCTTAACTAAGATAATCCTATCTCCTTGCCTTCTCACTCCCACCACACCATTCTTGAGGCTCTTATCAATCAAAACTCCTACTCCATTTCTATTCATGATCGTCCCAACCAAAAGCTTGAAACACAGTATTGTCCACCTCCTTCGCCTCTTCCTACCCTTCCATTTAGTCTCTTGAACGCATAATATATTTACACGCCTCCTAGTCGCGGTATCAACTAATTCTCTTAACTTACCTGTAAGTGACCCTACATTCCAACTACCTAAACGGATCCTAGTTAGTTCGACTAGCTTCCTTACCCTTCGCACTGCGTCGACTCGATGCGAAGACCCTTGCTCATTTTTCACTACACACCAAGCCCGATGTAGCGCGCCACTAAGGAAGCGACGACCCGATCCTTGGTTACTTGACACCATGCCGAGAGATCACGACACGGCGCGTCACACGGGTGACGACCCGCCCTTGCCCATTTAACACCATACCCGGGTTCCGATATGGCGCGTCGCTAAGAGGGTTACGCCCCAACGATTTTCTTTCGGGTTTCATCTCCATTTAAGTGGCTAAGTTTTTACATTGGCTCGCCACGCCTAACACAACCCTCCTCCTTTACCAGGGCTTGGGACCTGCTATGCTGGGACACCAAAGACGCCCCACCATAGGCGGAGTTTAAGTGTTGATAGGACCAAAAAGTAGATATTTATTTTTCTGAACAAACTCTAAACGAAGCATCAAGATCCTAATAAGCACAAGGTTCAGTGCTTTACATTTGGAATCAAGCAAACAGGAAAGAAGAGATTTCGGCCTTATGTGATAGCATACCACATTTCGAATTATAGCACACTTTCAGATCTCCAAGTTCACCTGTTGTCAAATGCTGTAACGGCCATGCTATATGCAGGTGCTAAGGTACACATAGCTTTTTGTAAATGTTTCGTACTATATTACATAAAAAGAAGCCATTAGAATAGTACAGGAAAACTCACCCTGGGTCAACAACATTGTATCTCGTTTACCAAATGAAAAGATTTTCACAATGTCACTCAAGAAGTCAGCTTCTCAGCAACTATTGCTCAACAAAATATAACCTAATGCTTCAGATCATCACCATTCACCTGGTGCTCTGCCAATACAAAAAAAAAAAAAAGGAATATAGCTGCTAAAAAACAAGACACGGACGAAGAACAGAATCACTCTGAGCTGAAAAATCCAACGAATTTTCGGAACAAAAACTATGTGATACATCTAAAGCTCTTTCGCTGCTGATCATCTGCGTGCAAGGCTCAGAGCCTCAGACTATGTCCTTCAGACCTGGCCGGATGTCCTATTGCAACAGTTTCTGTCCCGTGCATAGAAACTTTTAACTGCACTTCACAATACATGTTTACCTGCTGTCTGTCGGTCACCTTGCGCCCTTAGCATATCCCCACAGTTCCAACAGATACAGATGAGCCAAGAAAAAATAACAAGTAAACTGTTGAGAACAGGCAAGATTTACATCAGTGTTTTGTCTCTTGTTTATGGAGATACATTGCACCAGTCATCCATCATGACACCTCATCTTGGATAAAAGCATCTATGTTGGAGACTAGGAATCCAAAGAGTTTATTTATTCCCTTAATCATGGTACAACTTGCTGGCATAATCGTGACTGGTTTACTGAAACTAATTTGATTGGATCTGCTTTTCAAATTAGTCTCCAACATAGACGCATCAAATTACTAATGCATCTCCTGGAAAGCTCGACTCTTTTTTAAGGATCAACAACATTTGTTTTCATTATTGATATTTACAGCCATTACAAAACTGTAACAATCTTCAGAATGTAACACAACAACTCAGCTTCTCAACAATTATTGCTCCACAAAATATAGCCTAATGGTTCACATCACCACCATGCTCCTCCAATACATAAAAAAAAAGATCTATGTGAGACATCCGAAGCTACTCCTGCTTTTGCTGCAGATCATCTCCATACCAGGCCCAGACTATGTCCTTCAGCCCTGGCCGGATGTCCTCTTCCAACAGTTTCTGGTACTCAACTGAATCACCACTTGTTTGTTTCATCTCAATGAGATGGTAGGATGGTGTAATTTCAAAGATCTCCGTGTCAAACTGAAGGACACCATTCCTCCCCTCCCTCCTCCCTTGAATCTTGACAATGCCATTATCCTTCTTCCTTATCCTGAGATTCAGTGCTTTTGCAACCTCTTCAAGCTTTGAGATGATGGCCAAGGCAGGCTTATCTGAAGTGAACCTTGTCTCCTTTCTGCACTCCTTTTTGATAAATAGACCAGACAGGTCCAACCCTGTTGAGAATGAGATAATTTCAAAGGCATTTAGGTTTGTGGCAGCCAGGGGCTTCAAATCTTCGTGAGCAATCTTCTTACGCCTAGTAGCAAGCACTGGGGCAGCATTTGTGGTGGCATTCTCATTAAGAATTTTCTCCTTTACTGCGCGGATCTCCCCAGGACCCTTTCGGAACCAGGTAGACTCTTTTATCTTCTGAATTGAAATTCTTGTGCTCGGGTTGGGGTCGAGGATCTTGTACAACAGCTTCTTGAGTTTGTGTGAAAACCAACTGGGGCACCTGAAATCACCATGCTGTATCTTCCTATACATCTCCATCAAGTTTGGGCCCTGGAAAGGGAGATAGCCAGCAGCAAGAACAAACAGGACAACACCACAAGACCAGATGTCTGATTTTGCACCATCATAGCCTATCTTGCTGATCACCTCTGGAGCTACATACGCCGGTGTTCCACAGGTAGTATGGAGCAGGCCATCTTGCCTCTTTGACTCTGAAAGTGCGCTCAGTCCAAAATCTGTCACCTTGAGGTTCTCATTCTCATCCAGCAGCAGGTTCTCAGGCTTCAAGTCCCGGTGATAGACACCTCGGCTGTGGCAGTGATCCACTGCACTAATGAGCTGCTGGAAGTATTTGTGTGCAGCAGCCTCTGTGAGCTTGCCACTCTTGTCAATCTTGTCAAAGAGCTCACCACCTTTCACATACTCCATGACAATATATATCTTGTTTCTTGTCGCCATGACCTCATGAAGATGAACAATGTTCTTATGCGCCACTAACCGCATTGTTGTGATCTCACGCTTTATCTGCTCAGAAAGCCCGACCTTGAGCACTTTGTCCTTGTCCATCATCTTGATAGCAACACTCTGGTTGGACTCAAGATTCCTTCCATAGTGCACCTTGCCAAACGTGCCTTTCCCCAGCAGTCTCCCCATCTCATACCGCTCCATCAAAGTGTTCCCTCTGCTCTCCATATCTTTTATTATCTTGAAAAGTATACAAAACACAGGGCTACCTTTCTGTTGCCAATCAGGTGGACAACAAAGATTTTAGCCCTCCTCCCCCATGTCATGGTCCATGACGGTGAACAGCATTCTTATGGCCTGGTTGTGTCGGAGTCTGAAGGGCGTGGAGTTGGTGAAGGTGAGGTGATCGCTCACATCAAGAGACGAGCAGATCAGCAGACCTTGCGGAGCAGCGAGGTCCTTGATGTTGCAGCAGAAATCTCTTCTATGAAAGCACATCTTTCAGCATCCCCTGAGATTTTAGCTTCTTGTTATGGTGGTTGTAATCTGCACAAAAGAAAAGAAGCATAATTAGACTCTGCAATTGGAGGACCATATGAAAAGCTAACAGTTTTCAGTTAGCTACTGTATGGGCCGTATAACAACAAAATCAACCAAATAAAGGCTTTACGAAAAAATAAAACATGCTGGCTGTGTATGTATATCAACAATACAGAAGAGTCCAACAAAGGACAGCATCATTTATCAATAATCAATAGAAGGCACAAAGAAGGTAAAAAGCAGGATCCATGGAATCGCACTTTTTCCTGCGGTCAGACTGTCTCCGGCAGAAACAACCCAAACAGGATACTCGTTCAATAATATAGGTCACCTGCGGTGAACCGTAGGGTCATGGACCCAAATCTCGCCTTCTCCGACAGACCCTGACCCCGGAGTCTCCCAGCCACAAGTTCACTCGGTAAAAAAAAAAATCTTACCAGCCACCCCCTCCTCCTCGCAAAAAAGAAGCCGCCCGGTCTCTCTCGGTCTTCCCAGGCGGCGGCGGGCGTGGCGATGGCGCACCACCGTGGGTGGCGCGGCGGCGGCCCCTTCCCCCTCCACCTCCTTCCTCCCTCTCTCTCTCTCTGCTCTCGACCTCCTCTCTCTTTGCCTCTCTCTCTCCACGCGGCGGCGCATCTAGGCGGATAGGACGAGGCGGCAGCGCACCAGCCGGCCAGGCCGGCCAACGGCGCGGGCGGCCCGGCGGCGCCTGTCTCTCTTCCTCTCCCTCTCTCCAGATCTGCGGTCGCATCGGTCGGCCTCCGGCGCACCGGCGTGGCCAGGCACCGGCGGTGGGCGCAGCCGCCTCCCCTCCCCCCGCTGCGCGCATCTCTCTCTCGCGCGGCGCACCGGTTCGCCCCCAAATCTCATTCCCATGGGCCGGAAAAAGCGAACCTCCGCACCAAACCCTACTCCGCCACCGCCGGACGCCGCCCGCCGGCCGGCGGCCGGCATCGGCGGGGAAGATGCCGCCGTGCGCGCCGAGGTCGACAAGGCGCTCGCCTGCCTGCAGCGTGGCAACCACGCGCGGGCGCTGCGCCTCATGAAGGATGCCCTCGCCCGCCACGGGGAGGCCTCCTCGCCGCTGCTTCTGCGGGCGCACGGCACCGTGCACGCCCGCGCCGCCTCCGTCCTCGACGACCCCGCAGCCCGCGCGGGCCACCACCGGGCCGCGCTCCAGGCGGCCCAGCGCGCCGTCGAGCTCGCGCCGGAGTCCATCGAGCTGGCCCACTTCCACGCCATGCTGCTATTCGACGCCGCCAACGACGCCCGCGCGAGGTCGTCGCCGAGTGCGAGCGCGGCCTCAGCATCGAGGTCCCCTCCGACCCTTCACCCCACTCCCTCAGGCTGCCCGGGCCACTATAGTGTTTTGCGTCGTTTTTGACTTTCGACTGGCCTGCTGGGCAAAATATCTGCTTTTTTTTACGCAAACACTGTGCATAAAGTATTTTGCATTTAGATCGCCCTCTGCCTAGGCTATCGGAGACAGTCTCATAACTGGCTATTTGGGGCCCAGAGAATGCTCTTCTGATTTCTAGTAAGGCATTGATTAAATCTAGCATGTAAAGTTTTGAAGTGTCATCATCGGGTGTGTCGTATGGATGTTCGGATATTAATAAAAAAATAAATTATAGAATCCGTTAGTAATCCGCGAGACGAATTTATTAAGCCTAATTAATCCGTCATTAGCACATGTGTTACTGTAGCACAACATTGTCGAACGATGAACTAATTAGGATTAAAAGATTCGTTAAATTAGTCACAAACTATGCAATTAGTTAGATATGGAGTAAACTTTAGGTGAGGAAGGCATAAGAATCCAAGCCACAGCACAGTAATAGTGCCAATAGTTGACAGGAAATCTAAGGCAAAGGGCATCCATGGCAACAACCACAAGATGTCATGTCTCTGCATTCAAAGATTCACTCGTTCTCATGCACAAGAACTTCGTTCAGAGGAAACTGAAACAAGCAACGATGGAAGGAAAAAAAAATATACGCAGGGCTATGTGGACAGAGGGAAGGGGCCATAACCGAAGGAAAAAAAAAATTGGCCTTTCACAAACCTAACGCCTGGAAACATAAGGCTGCAGGAGCTTATATCCTGTGGGAATCCGACTGAAAGCACAGTTTGGCATCAAGACGAAATTAAAGGCACCGCGGGATGCAGACCAAGGAAAAGCCGCCTACTTTTCTTTTCATGAATCTATGCACCACAGCTAACAGGGAGGCGCTAGGTTCTTGGTACAATCTATGCCATGCGCCCTTACACTACAGCAAAGAACCCGTAAACAGAACTGGAACGCATGGTGGCGGACGGCGGCTGGCATGAACCAAGACTGAAACTGGAAGTATAGATAGATAAGGAGACAGAGGGATGGACTGGTTGTGTTACCTTGCGAGTTGCGACGCCACCAAGACGAGGAGGACGAGTGTGAGGACGACGGGACAGGAAAGCCAAAGCTTTGTGAGGGGGCTACCCCGCTTTTTTTTTTGGCGGAATATATGGCCGTTGCCTGAGTTCCTCTGAGCTTGGGACTTGGGATGCGGCGACAACGAGGAGAGGAGGCTCCTCTTCTTTATACAGGGGAGCCAGGGGGAGCAGCCGATTTTTTTTGCCCCTTTTTTTTTTTAAGATTTTCACAAATACGCCTACGTAGGTATCCTTTAAAAAACTAGATCATGGGGTTGGCACCGTTGCAATTGGCGCCGAGATTACAGAGGCCGGTGGTGTGCGTGCGTGGTGACGTGGCAGCGTAGCTCGGCGCCGTGGATCTTGGCGCCGAGGTAGGCGCCACGCATCTTGGCGCCGAGGTAGCTTACACAGGCCCCCTCAAGTCAGGTTTCGTATCTCTCTTTCTCTCTCACTTTCTCTCATTCGCTTTCAGTTCGCCGCCTGTTCGCGCCGCCTCCGTCTTCTCGTCGTCGTCTGCCTCCCCTCGGCCACCCGCCGCCTCGCCGCTCCTCCCCGCCCGCCGACTCCTCCCCGCCCTTGCCCGCCTCCACGTGGGGCTGCTGCCCTGCCTCGGCCACACACCCTCTGCTGCTCTCGGCCAAGGCGATGTTGGGCCGGGTCCGGTGCCCGCCTCAGGCCGTGGCCGGCCTCTCCTCCCAGCTTGGCCACACAGTGCCCCCACCCAGGAGCACGCTGGGTGCCCCAAGGGTGTCACAAGCTTCCCACCACCGCCTCCGCCTCCCGGCCGACCGCTCGGCTCCCCTGCTGCCAAGCGCCCCCTCCACTCGGGCAAGGTACATTACTTTGTTAATTTTTTTCTTAGTTAACAATAGTTAGTTAGTGTAATAGTGATTTACATAGGTATATAGATATTTAGATAGATAGGTAGATAGATGGATACTTAGGTAGATGGTTACTTAGGTAGTTAGTTAAATATTTTGTGTAATTAGCTATTTACATAGATAGATACATAGATACTTGGTTACATAGGTAGTATTTAGTAGTAGTTAGTAGTGACTTGATAGTATCTATTTATTTAGTTATTACGTACTAGAGACCCTCTACTTAGTATCTAGCATCCATTTTGGACTAAAGGATATGCGTTTCGATGTGTGTATGAACTAGATGGACAACCTAGTGCCCATATATCATGGAGACAGCGTGGAAAGAGATTGTTATGGATATGTTGAGTTTGTTGAGATGCAAAGCGTGCCTGTGCTATTCAATGATAGGCCTTCCTTTATTGAGTTGGTTGCAAGGGCTCATGAGGAACTATGTTGCCATGGAATTGATGATGGCATCGCAGTTGAGGGTGTACTTCACCTAAGTTCTCCACCCAACATCCTTAGGCGGATCATCCCAATTGGGTGTGAGAGTCAGTGGGACAACTATGTGAGATCAGCTATGAAGAGTCAGTTGCAAGGTTTGGACGTGGTTGTGCGTCGGGTGTTAGTTGATCCCATCCCTCATGGGTTTTCGCCACCAATGGTTCAGCGGGCACACTTTGACCCTCACGTACGAGACCTTGATGTGGATGTGGAGGTTACGTGTACTGTGCCCGATGCTCAAACTGCCCCCAATGAGGTCCATATTTCTCAGGAAGTTCGACATGATGTCGGACTCATGATGTTGTGGTAGATAATCCTCAGGAGATCTCTTTGACATAGAATCATCCTAGTAAGTGTCGTATCCACATCCTTCTTTGGAGCTTACGCCCTTCATTTCATTCATTTGTCTCATTCTTTCCTTGTATTTCTACTTATGGTGCAGGAGACATTCTTGATAATGTGGGTGTGCCTTCTGTTGCTGTGCATGTGCACTTTGAAGATGGATTCCATGCCTCCAATAGTGTGGAAGATCAAGTTATGAATGATATGGAGCCTTATTAGATCGCAAGGGCTGTTGATTCCGATGATGACCACCCTGTTGGAGAGCTCACAGAGAGTGATATTGAGATGATGAGGCGTATTCTCCCTGACCGGGATCTAAGGGTTCATGAGTTCAGCAGTCTTACTCATTCCGATCAGGCTTTTGCAAAAAGGACAGGATGATAAGCTGCTAGATGCTCCTGAGGCTAGTCCTAGCATTGAAATTGAGAAGGGGAGGGCTTTCCAGAACCTCCCTGCATTGAAGAGGTGGTTGCAACAGTACGCTGTGCTACGTAAAAGACCATACAAGGTCCTGCATTCATATGTGGAGCGGCGGTACACAGTTGTGTGCGACAAGGAATGCTG